TTAATTCGATTATCGATTTTTCGGTTCGGACACGCGGTTTGAATCAGTTTGGATAAGTTGATGAACACCCTGAGGAAGAGTTAATGAGAGATGTTTTTATAATTTTACCTTTTCTTAAAAAAAAATTAATATAATTATTATATTTTACAAATGAAAATAAATTTAAAATTTCTAAAAAAATTATTTATGTAAATTTCACATTTAAAAAATGATTCTCCCTCTAAAAAAGCATTCTCTCTCTCTAAAAATTATTTTTCTCTCTAAAATTGTCTAATTTTACATTATAACTAAATTAAAATTATAAAAAAATTATAAATCACTTATATAAAATTAATCTATATTTGAGAGAGAGAGAGAGAGAAAGAGAGTTAATTGTTTCTGAATTAAATGAGAGAAAATTAAAAAAAATTGAGAAAGAAAGTAAGGGCACATAAGTAATGTGCCATATTTTCCCTCTCAAACCTACTAAATTGGGAGAATTTTGATTATTTTTTTGGTAAGCGGGAGAATTTTGATTTTAATGGTGAGAAAAGTATTCGAGAATTTTATAACAACCCTCTATATTATATTCTCTCATTTTTTAAAACTCACATGCATGGAAAATATATAAACAAAACATTCCTCTTCCTTCTCTTTTCGTCTTAATATTGACTCTCAAACACATCATTCAAACCTAGGGCTACACAACAAAATTGATATTTTTTTACCGGACAAAATTGCAACAAAAAAAAAGTTTAATGAGTCAAGTCATAAATATTGCAATAACTTTAATGTATTTTTCTCTTCTTCTTTTTTTTGGAAATAAACTTTAATGTATTTTACTAAAACTAGGCAAACACAACATATACTTATTACTCTAATGTTCTTCATGCGTTACTTGGCAATTTTTACATTTTCACATCTATTGGCTACCTTCTCATCTGGTAACATCCCTGCCTCATTCACAGTTAAGGGTGCAAATGGACTGGGCTGGGCTGAGCTTTGGCCTAAGTTTACGTCAAAAAAAATTCAGCCTGTCTGTCCTACTAGCCTATTAAAGGCTTTATTTGTAGGCCAAACCCGACCCATTTTTAAAAATAAGAAAGCTTGACATGGCCTACAGGCCTTGTAGGCCTCCCACTGTAGATACTAAGCAAAAAAAATAATTGTATAGAGCAAAGAAAGTTTCATTTATGCATGCACTAGTAGTTCTCGTAGGAAAAAAATGACAAACAAGAAAGAGTCAACATAATACCCCAGCTCTAGAATGTATATCATAGAGAAATAGAGTCAAAGAAATGGAGAAAATAAGAAAAATACAATTACCGGATGCTGAAATAAAGTCTACAAGAGAATGTCATTTATCTAAAAATCTTTAAACCACCATCAAGAAAGGGAAAGAATATTGAAAGATCTTCATCAGTAACATCATAATCCAGCAAGGTACCCATTACTCCATGGTATTAAGCTGCAAGAGCATGTAAAATTTGGAGACATTAGACAAGTTTTCCTTTCATAAAATAAAATAGCACAAAAAGTAAGAGATATTGGTATTTGGTACTTTGCGTCTTTGCCACATAAAATAAATGTTATTTTATTATTTTATTTTAATAAATTAAATAGGCTAGCCTACAAGGCTGTAGGCTGGGCTTGACAAAATTGGCCTATAACCTATTTGTTAAAAAAGATTTTTTATAAACCTAAGCCTACTCTACTTTTCTGAAAGGTCGGACTTGGGCCGGGCTCAATGTAGGCTGGACCATAGCCCAGCCTGGCCCATTTACACCCCTATTCACAGTTGTTGATATTTTTTCCCCACATCCAACACCACAAACGTTTGCTCCACCGGTTCATACCGATTTGGAGTCTGCACCGTATATATACCAAGCCCAATTTCCTAATTAAGCAAGGGAATATTTGCATCCACATGAACTAGAGGATATTTGGATGGGTTTTTGCCCTCTCAAAAGCTGCTTTTTTTTTAAAACAAAATTGCTTCTAATTTTTTTTTTAATGTTTGGATGTTAACTTAAAAAATAAGCAGAAGTCAAGAAAAAGTTAAAATCCTCCTTTTTCTAAAAGTTAAAATTTCTTCTTATGAAAAAAGGAGAAGCAAAAGTGACTTTAACCCATCAGCTTCCTTCAAACTGCACGCAAGTCCACTGGAGGAAAAGCGTCGAGGAAGCAGTTAGCGACCAAAGCTGCCAGAAGATCAGCTCCGGCGATCGGAGGTGTGAAAAAGTCACACCGGTTCAGGCCAAGGAAGGTGTGGCTTTGGGGAGATAAGGAAATACCAGAAGAGCACAGAGCTATTGATAGGTCGGAGGTGTGAAAAAACCACACCAGTTCAGGCCAGGGACAATGGCTTTGGGGGAGATAAGGAAATACCAGAAGAAGAGCAGGAGCTGTTGATAGAATTCGTTGCGAGAGAGCTTGAATCTTCAAATGTTCTCTGGTGATAGGTGGCCGGTAATTTTATTATTCCGAAGTGCTTTTTTATTTTAACATCCAAACAATAATTTTACTTGAAAGCACTTTTTAAATATTATATCCAAACACAAAATAATTTTAACTTTTAAAAAAAGTTCTTTTAAAAAAAGCAACTCATAAAAAACTCTTTTTTTTAAAAGCCCATCCAAACGGGCCCTAGGTCTACGTGATCAATTATTGTAAGCAACCAACTTTGTTCAAACCAATTCATTATAAAAATTTGAAATAATAATATTTTACGTTCTAATTTGAATTAAAAACGGAAAATTAAATTATTTACTCTCTTGTTTTTTCTTTGGTTCCTCAAAAAATGAAGAAGTAATCAAAACACAAATTATCCGCTAGATATCCTTCCATTACATAGGTCAAGCTAAACATAGGAAAAGAAAATTACACATGTAGAAAGAATGTAGGTGTAAATCAAAAGCAAGAAATAAGCATGTTATTATAAGAGAAGATAGCTCACCCTGCTTATTTTTTTACGTACACAAGCTCGTGAAGGAACTCATTTTCGGTGCATCAAAAGTACATACTCCTTTCTCAAAAAGAGAAAAATATAAGATATGGATAGAAATAACTATAAAAGTGAGGGTAATGTAAAAGTGTTACTTTTTGCCATATTTAATAAAGGGTTTCATTTTATCCTTTAACATAACACAACAAACTTTTCTACACTCACAACATTTTGTGGGGTCCACACTTTTTAAAACAAAAAAATAAATAAAAAATTAAGGCACGCAAAACGAATCTCTATAACATTACACAATCATTTTTCCTACAACATAACTCTTATAAAACCCTTTAATAAATGATATACCGAGTACTTTGTTGGATGGGAGCAAAAATATTTTTCTCACGAAAAATATTTTTTTCCGGGATTAAGAATTTAAATCTCTTCTAAAGACGATATTGGAGAGGATCGAACACTTAATCTGTTGAGTTTAGTTTCTTCGGGTTTTGCTCATTAGAGAGTTGTATAAATATATAGATTTAATTTTATGAAAAAGGCATCTTCATCATAATGAATAATATGAAAGAATTCTAGAAACATTCAAAGGAACTAAGGAAGATCCTAGGATTGTTCTTTGCAAACTATGTTGACCTCTCATGAACACATCTATAAGGAGCTAAACAATTGATTTTGAGAAGGGAAAGCAATCAAAGTGAACCAAAAAAAATAAAAAAAATTGAGATCGGGAGAGCCCGGGGAAGATGAATACATAGACAAAAAAGGGATCCATGGAAGAGTTTTGATTGCCTAATTGAAGGTAGGGAAGCCTAATCGATAAAAATTGATTCAAATGATAAGGATTTTTTTTCCATTAAAAAGAGATTGAGTTCTGAAAATGAAAAAAATATGATATTGAAAAAGTCGTCCCAATACAAGTACTCAAATCGGATTTAACCGACTTGAATAAAAAATATTATGAAGCCAAAATTTCCTTCCTTAATAGTTTGCTTGGTTTAATTATTAAGAATGAGACAAGCAGCTAAATGATTTTCATCCATCGTTATGATTTAAGGGAAATTGCTTTGTCATTTATTCACTTATTTTGGTCTTTTTCGCTGAAAACAAAATGTTTTTTATAATTACTTGTCGCCTCCTTCTAGAAGGAATCTTTCGATTTAGTGGCTGAATGATGAATCACATGCATCCTTGACTATATATAGTGATTTAAATGCTAATCAAGTGTTGCTAAAAATAATATTCACTAGAAGTTTCAAGTGTATTTAACTATCGCGACATAATAATATTTATATTGTTATGGATATGAATATCATATCTCAACTACTCATCTAAGAGCCTATTAAGAGATAGACTCATGAGAATCTCAACAACTCTATAACAGTCAGACAAGATAAGGATCACATCCAACAGAATCATAGTGCAATTGGGGGAGCTCAAAAGGCCCAAGCCTAGGAAGGTAATCCTATAAATAAGAGCCTAAAGACCCTAGTTAAACACTTTTGACCTATTTACGAATACTGCTCACACTGTACACACACCTACCCCTTGACTATAAGCCTATTGTTTGTGCGCGATAATTGGGACCTCGGCTATAAGCCTAGTATACATCTGATATACACTATCTCTGAGCGCATACCATACTGTATAGCAATACGGTCTATCCAGAACCTAACACATATATAATTAAGGGTTTATCGTTTCTCCAGTAACTTAGAAATAATATAAGAATTATCAAAATATAATTCTTCATGAAATATTCTTTCTTCTTCCCATCTTCAAAGGAATACATCTCTTTATATAGGAATTCGTGAGAAGGAGATTACACATATACATAAATATGTAGATTAATGTGTAGATACAAAATATTGTAACAAAATATAATTTAAGAAAAATATGATAAATACACAAAACGTGAATAACAAAATCATCTCATTATTCCCTTAAACAATCGTAAAGTGTTTTGCCGATCAACCATCATGCCTTCACGTAGCTTCCTCCTCAGAAACCTATCAATGTATTTTGAAACTACTAATGGCCATTAAGTAGTTACGCACGTGGTTCATTAGTGTTGCAAGTCACAGCACTCCAACAGCTCCTCATTCAAAGTTTTCACTAAGTCGTCCTTTGTCATGCTGAATTCGTGGTCCAATATCTGCAATATAGTTGTACAATAATTGATTATTTAATGTTCGATATGTCATTATAAATATTCTTAGAAAGTAAACTATGTGTGTTGATCTTAGGTCTGTTTCTCCCAATGGAGCGTGAAGTATATTAAAATAACAATATTATTAGATACAGTGGTATAAATCAAAGGTCTATGGAAGAATTACTGTTAATATCTTAGGTATAGGCTGAAAAGGGATGGTGAAAGGTCCCAATAATTCTACATTGCATTAGATCAATGACAATTCATGAAACCAATGGATGCAAGTTGTCTTTTTAATGATGGAATATATATATATATATATACACACACGAGGAATATTAGTCTCATGTTATATGAGAGTAGTTCTCTCATGTTATAAAGAGAATTCAAGTGAGATCTACCATTAAAAACCAAAAAAAGAAAAAGAAAAAAAAAAGAGATATGATTTTCGAAGTGAGAGAAAATAAGATAATTATCTCATATAAAATAAGAGTAATATTTCTCTATATATATATATATGTGTGTGTGTGAGACAAATATTCTCTAATCATGCCATAATCGTTTTGCTCAGTAGACCCTCCTAAAATGCGTGAGGCAAACACACCTCAAGACGTGTATGAGGTGAATTGTGCATGGAGTGACAAATTCTCTATAATAAAGATAAAAAAATCTCACTTAAAAAAGGTAGGAGAATGATCCTTTAGATGAACCTCTAGAATTGGTCCATAGGACATAACAGAAAGTATATATTTATTGAAGATGCCAATATCTTTCTTCTTAGTTTTGACATTAATTATAATATTGGAGTGTACCTGAGCAATGCTGGTAAAGTTCATAATAGAATTCCCAAATGACATAGCATTGCTACAAACGAGGGAGAGATTATGAGCTTTAAGCTTGGCCAATAGCTTAGGTACAATGTTCTTTTGTTTCTGACACATAACTCTGATGAGTACATCTTTTCCTGAAATGCTAGCTTTAACATTTGGAAATGTCTTGATAGGTCTATCTACGGATTTTGTCTTTCTCTTCTTGTTCTGTTCCTCCAAATCTTTTACCCGCTTCTGAAGATATTTCACATGATCGATAGCGTTGTTAAGGATAGAAACCTTGTCCATCTACACATTACAAATATTTTAAGCTAAGAATGGAGTAATACTTATACCAAAAAAAAATAAAAAAATAAACAATGAAATAATATTCTTTAAGCTTGACTTTAATTAATACACAGAAAATAATTCAACTAAAAAATGTCACAGTCTATAATTTGGTAGACAAAATGTCTTATTTTAATGTCAGGGAAGAATATCTAACCTTACAATCTAAAAAATAAGAAAAGAAATAATTAAACTGACCCTTTTCAATCCAGGAATACTGGCTGAAAGTGCTATGAACATTCTGGTGAGATTTTCTCTCCTTTTTCTCTCAGCCAATGTGCGATATGGAATCTGAGCAGAGCTTCTACTATCCTTCTTGGAGTTTCTATTTTCTGGTTCTTCTTGGGTCTCCTTTGATTGTGCATCATGATTATGGCATGTTGTCTTTGGAATATTTGGCACTTCAGTGGAGTGTTCAAAAGATGTAGTATAGGATATTGAGGAAGAGAACAGAGGTTTCTCTAATAAAGTAAGTTGTTTAAGACTAGGGTTATCAAAATCATTGTTTTCTTCCAAAGATGAATTGCCAATGGTAAAATTTAAATCAGAAAAATGACTATTCCAAGATGGTTCTGGATGTAGTGAATTCACTCCCTCGAACTCTTCCTCGAGAGAGTTCAGGTCATCCATTTCCTGCAACAATTGATAACACCAAAAAGAGTCATTTTCAAAAAGGTTACATAAAGGTATGCATAGCTTTATTACATATATGCAAAGGCTTGAATTCAAATCTCATCATTACCATTTCAGAAATCCATTTTCCCCATGACTCATCCATTGATGCCAAAGTCTTACAAACTTGTTCTGGTTTTTGCTTCAGCTGTGGAAAAAAGCAGTCACAAATTATGGACGGTACTCTCTTCACTGCTTTTGTAGAAATTTGATATTGGGTTTGTGTGAAAAACAAAAATTTATAGAGGGTATTGACTTGGAAAGAATTATCAAATAAAGAACATGATCACTAGTGCTCGAGCCAGGGAAAAGATTCAGCTAGTATCAAAAGATCGAGTTAGTAAAATCTGTCCATGTTGTATCACTTTTAAAAACCTAACCAATACTAAGACTATATCATAATTTTTAAAGAAAATATGAAATATTTTTGAAAATCAGCTGGCGCCAAGGCACCAGCTAGCCACCAAGTGGCTCCGCCACTAATGACCAACGCTTAAGATTTTGTCTTTCTCTCATGCTTTTCAAAAAAATGTATCATTTTCAATTGTCATGTGTGAGAAAAAAAAAACCTAATCTATGTGGGACCTCTAAGACACAAGGATTATCACCATTATTCTTTATGCTCTATAGATATGCTTGTTACCATACACATTCTTAGAGAATAATATGAATCATGCACCAAATGAAGCAGCCACGCCATCTCACCTTTAGCCGGCACGTGGCGGCGGGTGGGACGTCAGTTCCACTTGCGACTTGGTCATTGTCTTCCCCTTATTTCAAAATTTTTTCCTTCGCATTGATTGCAGCTCATTTCGTGGTACACACTCTTGCTCTCACTCTGATAATATGTCCCCTGATGTTCAAAAGCTTGAGGCACCTATTTTTAGCAATAATGTTCATGCTCTGTTATGCGTGGAAAAACTGGATGATTTTAATTACGACTCTTGAGCATTTGACATTAAACTTTGGTTTAACGGACAAGATTACACTGACCATCTCACAACCACTGCTGAATTTGTAACTGCTGCATTGCATCCTAGGTGGAAGAAGATTGATGCCCAATTATGCAGTATCATTAAATCTATTATCCACCCTTCCCTTAAGTAGATCTTTCGTGCTCATGTTACATGTGAATCTATTTGGCGTCAGGTTAAGGAATTGTATACTAATGACACACAATGTCTCTATGGTGTCTACAAAAACTTGATGGATGTCATATCACCTCGATATTTTGATGGCTCTATGTCTGCATAATTAGGAAAAGTTCATCGCTTAGTTCACTACTTTAATGAGCTTCTGCCCCTAGCTGAGGATCGTGCTAAGGAACTCGAAAAACAAAACACCTTTTTTATGCTATGGCTCTTTATAGCTTGCCTCAAGAGTACTTTGCCAAATGTGATCAAATTCTAGGTTCTACCACAATCCTGACTCTGACCTCTATTTGATATACATTGCTTTATATATATTCCGTCTAAGCACCCCACTAAACCTGTGGCTCTTACCCTGTCCCCAGCAGATTCCTCTACACTTGCCTCAAAGGGTTCTGGTCATGGCTAGAAACCTTCCAAGGGTCGTCTTCATTGCACTCATTGTAACAAGTCAATTTATACTATTGATCAGTGTTGAGACCTTCATAGACTTCCCCACTTGGTTCAAGATGCACAAGTTTCTCCTGATTCTCAGTCATCTGTTGTGCCACCTCATACTATTTTCATTGACTTTACGAAATGGTATGTAGAGCATAATGTCCCTGGTTCCACTGCCTCTGTTGCACATACATGTAATTCCTTTGCTAGTCTCACTCAATCACAATCTCTTGGATCTTGGGTTCTCGACTCTGGTGCATCTGATCATATTTTTGGTAATAAGTCCATATTTACTTCTCTCTCTACATCCAGTTCTATGCCTACTATCACCATGGCTAATGGTTCATTGATTCAGTCTAGTGGAATTGGCACAATTCTACTTTTTCCTTTTCTATTTATTGACAATGTGCTTTATGTCCCTAATTCCCCTTTCAACCTCATTTCCATTAGTTGATTAACTCGTTCTCTTGATTGTACTATTTTCTTCACTAAAAACTCTGTGATTTTGCAAGACCACCGCTCGGGAGGATGAGTGGCGCCAGATCTGAGTCCAACAATCTTTATCAGCTTTCCACCTCATCCAAAGTGTGCTCTGTTGTGGATTCTTCGCTTACTATTCATGCTCAGTTAGTCATCCAAGCCTTGGTAAATCTCAAAAGATGATGTCATATTTCTCTATTTTATCCAACTTATCATGTGAGTCATGTCAGTTAGGGAAACACACTTGTAGTTCATTTCCCGATCGAGTTAGTCATCGGTCTTCGTCTCCATTTGGTTTAGTTCATTCAAATGTTTTGGGTCCTAGTCATACAGTATCCACTATGGGGTTTAGATACTTTGTTAGTTGTATTGATGATTATTCCAGATGTATATGGCTATTTTTAATGAAAACAGGTCTGAATTATTTTTCATTTTTTACCTATTCTTTAATGAAATATTTACTCAATTTAGTGTTTCCATTCGCTTGTTTCATAGTGATAATGTCCATGAATATTTATCTCATCAATTCTAAACTTTCTTTGCATCTCATGGCATCATTCACTAGACATCTTGTTGTCATACCTTCACCAGAATGGGGTTGTTGAACGCAAAAACCTTCACCTATGGAAACCACTCGTACTTTTTTACTATATGATCATGTCCCCTTCCAATTTTTGGGAGATGTTGTCCTTAATAATCAGGTACTCACTCTATCTTATTTCCCCATCAACCACTGTTTTCATTGCCTCACATTTTTTGTTGTACTTGTGTTGTTCATGATCTTAGTCGCATTCGTGATAAATTGTCTATCAAGTCCCATAAATATGTTTTTCTGGGTTAGCCTTGCTCACAAAAGGTTATCATTGTTACTCTTATAGTCTTCGTCGGTACTTTATCTCTGTTGATGTTACCTTTTTTAAGCATGTGCCATTTTCTGGCTCAGCCTCCTTTCCTAGTGACCCTGTCCAAACACTATTACCACTGTTCAGATTGAGTATACCCCTCCACCTTCATATGACCCTGCACCAGATCCGCCCATACCCTAGGAAATTAACACTATTGATACTGAAGTTCCTCAGACTCACCTTTGTCATCATCTCCACGTACGACTCGAATCCCACTTTCTGACATTGACCTACTCATTGCTCTCCGTAAAGGTACTCGTAACTCTAATCTGCCACCCAGTTTCTTGGTTAATGTGAGTTATCATTGTCTTTCTTCATCGCATTTCGCTTGCCTATCATGTTTATCTTTTGTATCTATTCTTAAGATAGCAAGTGAAGTGTTATCTGATCTCGGATGGAGATAATATATGCTTGATGAAATGTGTGCACTTCAGAGCAGTGGTACCTAGGATTTGGTTCCTCTTCTCTCTAGGAAATCTGTTGTTGGTTGTAGGTGGATTTTTACTGTCAAGGTGGACCGTCTCAAGGCTTGTCTAGTGGCTAAAGGATACACTCAGGTGTTTGATCTGGATTATGGGGACACATTCTCCCCTGTGGAAAAAATGACATCGGTTTGCCTTTTTTTTAGTATGGCTGATATCCATCATTGGCCTCTCTATTAGTTGGATTTTAAAAATATTTTCCTACATTGAGATCTTATGGAAGAAGTTTATATGGAGCAACCTCAAGTGTTTGTTGCTCAGGGGAATCTTGTTTGGTTTGTTGCCTCCGCAAATCTCTACATGGTCTCAAACAATCACCACATGCTTGGTTTGGGAGATTTAGCACTGTTATTAAACAATTTGGTTTAACTCAGAGCGAAGCCGACCACTCAGTGTAATATCACCACTCAGTTTCAGGATCCATTTATTTGGTGGTGTACGTTGACGACATTGACATTACAGGTAATGACCATTATGACATTACTCAAGTAAAACAACATCTCAGCCACCATTTTCAGACAAAGGATCTTGGTAAAATTTGATATTTCTTAGGGATAGAAGTCTAAGGATGATATTGTGATATCCTAGAGGAAGTATGCTATGGATATTATTGAGGAAACAACTATGTTGAATGCAAAGCCAATTGACACACCTATGGATCCAAATGTCAAGCTTCTACTAAATCAGGCGAAGCCGTTCTCTGATCTAGAAAGGTATAGAAGACTAATTAGGAAATTGAACTATCTCACGATCACTAGACTAGATATTTCATTTGAAGTTAGTGTAGTGAGTCAGTTTCTTAACTCTGCTTGTGAAGACCACTGGAATGCAATAATTCTTATTCTTAAGCCCATCAAGTCAGCTCTAGGGAAGGGTCTCTTCTATGGGGTCAAAGGTCTTACTAAATTCTTAGGATACTCAGATACTGATTGGGCAGGTTGTCCTACTAATAGGAGATCCAGCTTTGGATGTTGTGTGTTTATTAGAGATAGCTTAATCTCCTAGAAAAGTAAGAAGCAGAGTGTGATTTTCAAATGGAGTGCTGAAGCTGAGTATCGCTCTATGGCCATCCCACTTGTGAACTTATCTAGCTAAAACAACTACTCAAGGAGCTGAAGTTTGGTCACATTGAGGTAGCTACTCTCATTTGCAACAATCAAGCAACCTTGTATATTGCCTCCAATCAAGTATTTCATGAAAGAAATAAGCAGGTTGAGATAGATTGTCATTTCATCAGGGAGAAGGTCTTATCAGGGGTGATTGTTACACAGTTTATCAACTCAAATGATCAACTAGCAAATGTCTTTAATAAGTCCTTGAGGGGTCCTCGAATAGATTACACATGTAACAAACTTGGAGCTAATGATTTATATGCTCCAGTTTGAGGAGGAGTGTTGAAAATATAGTATATAGAGTAGCCTAGTATATGGGATAAAGTTCCAAATCGTATGATTCTCATGTATATCCTCTTTTACTTGGTTATATAATAGTGCATCCGCTGCTCATCTAAAGCATACAGTTTCCTCGTATGTTTCTCGTTTCTCTCTCATTTAACAATTATATTATTTTTTAAATTCACTTTTATACCCTATTTATAACAAAATGGTAACCTAGAATTATTTATAAATAACGTATTACTTTTTGTGAAAAACA